ACTTTAAAAAAAATGACCGTAGGCACATGCCATTTTCACTGGTTGTTTATATTTGCATTTTCTATACACGATCAAATTTTCAAAATATTTTTATTTATTTTGAACTGTTTAGGGACATTTTCATTTTCCATTTTTTTTTTAGTTTTTATTCTAGAAATATCAATAAAATTTTATTTGTTGGTTAAAAAAGATTTGAAAATGTAATACAAGATTCCTTATAAGATTATCTACCTTTATCAAAACAAAAATGTCCATAAGAAAGTCAAATTAAATTTTTATGAGCGCTTATGAAATTCAAATTTTTACAACATTGGATATTCACCCCATTTCTTATGCAGCGATTTCCTTATTTTGTTGTAATTCAAAAACGAATAACTGTAGATACATGAAAATTTCACTGAATGTTTATATTAGCATTTTCTATACACTGTACAATTTTGAAAATATTTTGACTTTTTTGAGCTGTTTACGGACATTTTCAGTTTTCAATTTTTTTAGTTTTTTTTTCTATAAATATCAATAAAGTTTTATTTGTTGGTTGCGAAAGCTTGAAAATGTAATACAAGGCACAATTTTTTTTTATAAGCATTTAAAGATCGAATTTTAACAACATTTATCAAAATCTCGAAAATTATCATTCATTGTAATTAATAAATTATAAAATGTTCAGTTTTCATAGCTAAGGATTGCAAAATTTAAAACAAAGGTTTTCATAAATAGTTCATACTGTAACCAAAAAATCTAAAAAATATATGAACATAGTGTTTTTTACAGACATTTTTAATTCAAATTTGGATGAAATTACATAATAAAAAACCTAGAATAACTACTTTAGTTATTTTGTTGTGATTGTATAATATTATTCGTGGGTACTTGAAACTTCTAAAGTATACTACTATATATCTATGATAGTATCAGGGTTTGTTGTTGGGGTATAACGCGTTATAAGTACCTAATGGATATTGTGATATAATTATTTTGGAATTCATTATACTATTATAGGTCAATTTTTTTTAATACCATAGATAAGCATATAATATGTCTTATACCTAGAAGGACATACCGTCTCCGCTCAGAATCGTTTTTCTTATACAATGATATAATATCATCCATTATACAGTGACCCACTTGTAACCTACTGTACAGCAGAGCGACACCCACTTGCCCACCTTTTTTACTATTTTACTGATGATATTATCCATATGGCATATTAGATAATATATCATACACATCGTTTATCTATGCTGTACCTATATCTATTTTTTGTTAAAAAAGCAATTTTGTTGGTTCTTAGTTTTTTTTTATGATATTGTCATACCCTCTAGGTTCTGATTGATGGGCGCCCTTGTACCAGATAAGTGAGATACTAATAAAGAAGATATTTTTTAATGTTAACTTATAATATTGTAAAAGGGGGACGAAGTGGCCGAGCGGACTAAGGCGTTGGTTATGACGCACACCGTCACCGGTTTGAATATCGGTCGCTCGGTCTACTCTCCGGGCAGACATCTGTCTGGAGTGAGAGGCCGTCATCCCTCGACCAGGCATGGCAGAAACGGGTGCGACTCGTTTGCGCACATTTACCTTTTTTACGACACGTTTGCGCACAAAATCACAACTCGTTTGCGCACACATATTTTGGGTTTAAATTATAAAGGTACAACTCATTTGCGCACATTTAACTTTGAGCAGAACAGCACATTTCCCTTCTTACTTTAATATAGGCTTAGGACCATCTGTTTTGTACAGGCGTGATTAAAAAAGTGCATGTCGTGTGTGTCTGTTCTGAATAAATATATAATTGTACAATTAATAAGAAGTAATAGAAGTTCTATGAGTGTTTGTCATTTTAAAAATTTTTTATTTTTTTATTATTAACTAACCTTACTACATCACTCAAGGAACATTTTTTATTTGCACACCTAAAATGTGTAACACTAGATTTAAAAGTTCGAAATTCTCTAAATTTATAACTATCTATATTTATACACTTTTTACCTCGACGCCTTTCAAAAATATCACAAATTTCGATATCCATAGTCACTAGTCAGTATAGGTAGTACCGCTTTCTGGCAAACGACTGCTTAAAAATATTATGTTTAATACACGTCGATTATTTTCAATGATGATAATGACTAATGATATATTTAATATTGATATGCCGGTCATTTGCACTAATAATTTGTACCGATAATCAATTACTTTAGGTAAGTCCAAATTTAAAAATATAAAATTTATGTTATGCAGTGTTTATATTGTGCGCAAACGAGTCGTCCGTTTTTAGGTTAACGACGGTATTAGTTGTGCGCAAACGAGTCATCGATATCTAGGTAAACAATTTGGATTGTGCGCAAACGAGTTGCACCGGGCAGAAACCGGTGCTTGTAAATTGCGCCCACATTAAGCAGGTAGTAAAAATACTATTTGCTAAATTGCTATTACCAAATTGCGCCGGGATTTTTTGGTTTCTAAAATAGGTATAGTAAATTACGCCCATAGTATCTAAGTGACCTTGAATTCATCGTTACCTACCTTGAATTCATCGATAGGTACCTATTATGTGTTATTTAAAAATAATGTTGTTCATTTATTGGTGGATAAGCCAATCGTTTATCACTATAATCGTTATGATATTAGCGATATCAATGCCTTTACGCGTATGCAACGACTTTACGTAGGTATAGGTAATATTTTAGTAAGCCATTTGCTTGCAACAGTGAAACATGGATATTATACATACTGGATTTAGACAGAAAGAATAAATGATGTTATAATCTACCTAACTTATACATTTTCAAAATTAAAACGTGAGTTGTCTTCGGGTGAACAAAGTGGCGATGTAGTGAAAAACGTGTGAAACATTTATGAAAACGATAGGACAAAAAAAATAACATAATTGAAAAAAATGTGAATCAGTTATAAAAAAGATATTCAAAAATTACAATAACAAATTGTGTCCACTGGTGCAAAGCGGAAAGCAACCGAAGATACCCATCTGTGAAAGACCAGCAAAAATACTCCATAGCATAGCAACTGTTCAGGATATGAGTTTAATCAAGGTTAGTGATTAGTAAATTTCTATGCAAAAATTTTTACCTGAAAAATACCGGGCGCAATTTACAATTGTTTCGCTTCGTTGGGTGCAATTCACGTTTGCCCGCAGAAAAATACGGGTGCCCAATTTGAAGTTCTGCCAAACTAAAAACACGCGTGCTTACAAAAACATACAGTACCCTTCCCCACAGTTAAAAACCACCCAATTGCCACGGGTTAATTAATAAAATAATAATAATAATATTAAAAAAAAAAAACAGATAAGGGAAAGAATATTGTAATATAAATATTATAATACAGTTCTGAATCGATATATTTATTATCTATTTTTTTTGTAACAATGATAGTCTCAAATGAAATAAGTATAAGTTGCTCTAAAATCTCTAAAAAGTAAACCCTATCTTAAAATCATTAATCAATTGAACGAAACAAAAACAATAGTGACATATTATATAAATGTTTATTGTTGATGTGTATTGTGTATATTATTATTAAATATTTGTTGGGGGTTTTTCTTAAAGACTCGATGAAATGTACAAGTTTTTGGAACCCCTCCCGGATCTTTTAATTTTTCATCTGTATTTGCATTATATTTCCTTATTTATCTTCATAGTTTATGTTTATTGTCAGGTTCAAATCCGGTTTTTATTATATACAAATTAATTAATAAAAAAAAAAAATATTGTAAAAACATTTGGTAGGCAGATATTGAAAAAATAAATGTATATTTAGGTAGGTAGGTACGTTTTTTTAAATGTACACAAGTCAAAAACTGGAAATTAAAAATAAAGTTTAAGAGTAAAGCCATTCACGATATAAATGTTGATAAGTTTTTAATTCACACATAATATAATAATTTCTCCTGAACCGATTTTTGATATTCTATAAAATTAGTTTTAATACTTTTAATGTCATTATGTAAAATTTAAAACTATAATATAAATAAAAAATAAACCTTAGATGTTAAAATTGTATGTTTGCGAGTTTACACATTTTTGTAGTTTGATAAATTTCATAAAAATGTTGGACTTAAAACAGTTAAAAAAATTGAAACTAATTCAAATTTTTGAACCATTTTTTAAGGAACCTTGAATTACATTTTCAAGTGTTTTCACTCTAAAACAAATATCTTATCATACATCAATAAAAATAAAAACATTTTCCTATAATAGAAGCGAGTTCAGTTATATACTTGATTAGTGTTTGAATCAATATGTTTGTGAGTTTTAGTTCAAGTTTGATAATTTTTTTTTCTTTTCTAAAATGTCTGTATATAACATTTTTCATGATTTATTCATTGAATAGACTATAGATGTATAATTTACTTTTATAGGAAGTGGATCAATTTGGATGAACTATCTAAGTGACCTTTTTTTTTAAATTTAAGGCACCAGGAGTTTCTACAAGTAGTTACTTACAAAGATATATTTAAATTCCAAATTAAATTATCTGAATATTGTAAATGTTTGTATTAGGTAGGTATGTATTATTTAATTTTGGAACAATATACCAAGTATTCAGTATTTTGTTGAATAAAATAATTGAGTTCATTATTTACTAATAATTCATAATTGTTAAAATCTTTGCAATTTTTATCATAAGTAAAACCTTTTTACACAAACAAATTTTCATTTGATTACTACAAAAAAAAAAAACAGTTTAATTAATGATGAGAAAAATTATAATTTCTTTTCAAAGAAATAATTAAACAAATGGTACATATTTTACAAAAAAATAAAAAAAATATACTTAAACCCCAAGTCTTCAAGTTGGAAATAGGGGGAAGTAGATTCTGAATTAAGATTTGTCAAACTGCTGAATTAAAATTTGCATTAATTAAATTCAAATATTTACTAATATCATCAAAAGAAACATTAGATATATTAAATTTAGGTAATGTTAAAAAAAATAAAATTGTTTGTAGTTAAACTGATAAGGCTTATACACTATAAAAGAGAAGATTTTGAAACTGTTGCACAACTTGTTTTAGGACAATCTAAATTCTCGGCAATTAGTTTGTCAAAGAAATCTTCACTTTTCCCAGCGTGTTTTTTTTTTGTATCGTTAAATTTAGGTTTTTGCATAAATGCACCAGTTTTTTGCAACTGCTTTGCCGTAAGATTTCCTTTTTTCTTGTTTTTAGTAATTTTTGTATTAATAGTTAAATTTTTGTCACTATCTGCTAATTCAGTCTCACTTTGAACTGATATATTTGTAAGTGCTGATTTAGAAGATGAATTAACGATTAGATTGGCCTTCATGAATGGGTCAACATCTTTTATCTTCAAATTACTTGTTTCTATGATTTTAGATAGCATTTTATAATAAAAACACAAATCAGAAGAGGGACCACTAGCATTTGTAGCCAATCTGATTTCATTAAAAATGAGCTCTGATAAATTAAATTTCTTCGAACCAAATGATGAAATGTGATGCTGAAACAAATAAATTTATATGACTAATAAAAGCATATTATACAGTTGAGAATAATATGAAATGTTAGTAAAAAAATAATTTATTTAGTTTAAGGTTAATTTAAATAAAGAAAACCAGTGTTTAAAACAAGGCTAAAATTTAAGTTTAATACTTATATACATTTAATCGTAAAAACTTACAACAATTATATCATTATTGGCAATTTCTGGTTGTTCAATTAACTTAATAAATTGCTCAATGCCGTATCTTAAGTGCTTTGTAAACAATAATGAATATGAACATAACTGAGATATAATTTTTAATTGATTGAGTCCATTATATTTAGGAACCAAATCAGTTAGGTAAGGAATAGGATCTTCACCATTCTTATATTTTTTCACAATGAGTCCTAATTCAGTTTCTAGTTGTAATACTTCTGTTGCTTTGGGATTCATTTTTTTACACTAAAATTAAAATATATATATATATATAAAAACTAACTAAAATATGATATAAACATTTTTTCTAAAAATTATATATTACAATTTCGTCAAAAAAATATGATTCAATTGCTTTTCCAATAGCCTTTAAAACAGTCCCATCATTTTGTGACATTTGAAAAGCTTTTTTCAAATATTGTACTCCCAAATTAAAATCTTTATACATAGGTGGAAGAGTCATCAATGATTTAGCACATTTAACTACCAAATGAGGGTCCTTTGGTCCAATGTTCATAATGGTTCTACAAAAAAATAAATAAACTTCTAAATTAAAACTGTGTTTTAATAAATATTTACTATTAATAATAATATTTATGTCCTATGCTAGATTTAAAATTGTATTTATGGTGACTACTTTTAAAAGTCCCCAAAATTTTCTCACAAATAGGTTATTATAATTATTTTTAACAAAGCAAATTGACAATCGCACTATGAACTACAATGTATCAATGCAACATTTTAGAGAATTACATTCGAAAAGTAATTTTCTAGATCAAAGATTAATAATATACTATAATCAGAGGTTTACATACTTGATCATATCTGCAAATTTTTGGTTTTCTTTATTTATAGATATATCATCCATAACCAACCTATGGTAATTGAAAAGAGGATTTTTTCCATTAGACAACATAATTGCTTGATGAATTGCATTTATTTCATCATCAGCTGGTATCAATTTATGTGTCGACGATAATTGTCTTTGAGCTGTCAATGCAAGTGAATGAATATAATACCAATGAGAAGTATTAGGATCTAAATCACATGCTTTCTTTGCCATATCACAAGCTTTTGACAAATCGACAAGATTTTCACCGTATTCAATTAATACAGCTGCACGTATTGCATGTACAGAAGCTCTTAATTTAGAATCCATATTTGCAAATGATGAAATATCTTCCAATAACTAACAAATTAACATTTAGTTTAATAAATTGTATTGTAAACTAAGTGAAACATATAACATGATGTAGGTGGAGGAGAATGAATTATTATTCTATTTCTAATTATTTGATATAACATTTATCAATTAATTAATAAAGGTTCTTCAAAATCTTTTCTAGAAGGTAAGAAAATCTTGTTGGTATAATTTAGGAGGTTGAAGTAAAAATTGATTATTACCCGGTTCATGTTAACACTAGCCAACATTTAATAATATTCATGACGGCTAATGATTGTCCAGTTAATGTCGACGTTATCCAAATTTTACCATTACCCGTAATATATACACAAATACAATGACATTTTGAAGACATTGAGATCAATTTTAAGGTATTGCTTATATTATTATCATGAACCTATTTACCCCATTCTATGGTAAGGCGGGTTAAACAGTATGAACAGTATTATCATATTTATCATTAAAAATCATCCGGTACCGCTATGCTACGCATGTAACATTTGATTTAAATACTTTATCACTGATACACAATATGTAGGTATATAAACAAAATATACTTTATGTATTAAAATAAAAACAAATAAATACATAATAACTTACCCATTTACATTCTTCTGTAAGATTTGTAGCAAATAACATATGAATGAATGTCGCCTCCATAATATGTCGAAGACCAGCATTAATAGATAAATAAAACTCATCAGTACCTTTATCTAATTCTTCAAGCCATTTTCCTATTTCTAATATTTTTATTTGAGCTATTTCGTATTCACCCTTATGAAAAAATTCATAGGAAATAATTAAATTACCTATAAACCTAAGAAAATAGATCAAAATTAATAATTTAGGAAAACAAATATTATACAGGGTGATTCACTAAGCGTACAACGGTCATTATCTCAAAAACATTAGTACTTTTTGAGATGACTGTACGCTTAGTGAATCACCCTGTATAGGTACAGTGGCATATTTAGGCCAGGGCCTTGGCCCCTCCGGATTCCTTCAAGATGATAATAGTAGTATTTTTATCATGACATTAAAAAAAAGAAAAGTGAGATTTTATTTTAACTTACAAACCCTCCTAAATTTTCTTTTTAGTTAATTTTATAGTATACAATGTTATTATATAAAATATAATTTCTAAGTAATAAAACAATCATCATCATTATTAATATTTTTTATTTTTTTATAAAGAAGGTATTTGTTATAAAAACTAATTAAAAATATAATATTTTACATTTTATTTTTATTGATAAGCAAACTCACTACAAATCTGTCCTACTTGTACAAGCATTTTTTGAAGGATACCTAACTAGAATTTGTGGGATTATCTTAAGAGGATGTCGGATCTCAGCGCAATATTTGTTTTTTTCTCAGATCCACATGTAACATAGATAAAATGCTTTCACCAAAAATTATTTTTATGATTTTTGATTAATCTTAAAAGTAAAATTACCTTATACAAAAATTATAGAGGACAATATTTTTGAGGGTATGATATATTGGTTTTATAATTTATTTTATTTGACTTTGTATTCGACTTTCAAAATAAAAATATTTTTGGTTAATTTAAATGATATCTAAATTGTTTTGAAACAATATTAAAACAAATCGATGTATCTATCGATTTTCTATTGGGTTATATTACTCTTGGAATAATGGATCAAAAAAATGTTTCTGCATAAATGTGTTTACTGTTTTTGTACATATGTTGCCAGAGAGAAAAAACAAATAATGCTCTGACATTTCTTAATAAAATATTTGCAACATTAATATTATGCAACGGTCGAAGAGGATATCATTGGTATAACCAGCATAATATCTATTGAGGTATATTGTTAAACTATATTGTTAATATTATACATATACAAATGTATTAATCAATTAAAAATGGTTTCATATTTCAATATAAGTTTTAATAAATACCTAGCATTTTATTTTAAAATACTTACATACCTTTCTAATGTGAATTCAGATGAAGATATATTTAAGTTGTATTCTCCATATTTATTCCATATCGATAAAATTACATTTTTCTTATTGTTTGGTTTTATGTTCCACGTAAATAAACACTGAATATTATTTATTTGGTTTACAATTCTTTTGGTATTGGGGTCCTTGACTAAAGCAGATACTAGTCGGTTTTTTCCAAATGAGTTTATTGCACATTTTGTGTAGTCAAAATGTTCAACTGAAGCACCTTTATTTGAATATTTTGGAAAAGCATATAAATGACTCTTCGAAGATATGAAATTATGCAGAATATCTTGCAGTATCTGAATAGCATCATTAATGTTATTTTTTGACACTGAACAACTATCACCATTATCTGCATTTTTGTTTACTTTTTTGATTTCAGTAAGTAGTTCTTTGACATATTTTCGAGTATTTTCAGCTATTTCAAATTCTATTGCATGCGTTGCAATCTTTGTTTTCTTCTCACATTCATTAAAAAACAATTTAAACATTGACGCAAACATATTTATTGCCTAATAGGGTAAAACATAATACTTAAAACAAAACATTTTGTTATAGTCTATTACTGTAATAAAAATCCATTCAATAATATTATTATACTTTTTGTTTCAATACTTACAACTAGAAAGTGAATTCCTATATAAGAGAATAGTGTAAAATTGAATTTTCTTCCAAATACCACCAAGTATCCAAGTTATAAGTTATACCTAACTATAATATATATTGATAATTACGTATTTTAGTATTAATATTTAAACCTAAACAAGGACTGGATGAAATAATTAAAAAACTTACCTTTTAAAAATCTAGTCGAGAGTGCAAGACCATAGAATAATATAATATTATTTATAGATGCAAATATTAAAATATAATAAACATCAGAATTGGATTTAATCTATGGTGAGATCATCAAAATGTTTTTTTTAATGCGGGTTAGGTAAGGTCTTAGAATAAAAAAAAATCACGGCGACGCCAGTACGCCACTAAAGAAACTATTTTAATCCATAGTAAAAACCATAATCCGATATGGCGGACGTTTCAATCTATTTCTACCGGTATGATATGGCCACAGACTATATGAAAACAGATAGCTCACTCGGGATGTAAACAAAAACTATGAATATTATCACCGCGACCAAATCAGTGTGACCACAGTGAGGGCATAACATTTCGTTTGGTCCATGACAAAAAAATGACGCGATTGATACCTGCCGCCAACATTGAAATTCATACTAACTACCCTTCTATTCTATAGGATCTGACCTTTTACATCCCTTAGAAAATAGGTTATCTTGGCCTTTAGTTGCTGTTTGCACGATTTCCATGTGACTTATTAGTTGACCACTGACCAAGTGTGTAGTTTACTTAATTTTTAGTTTACAATTTAGTTGCACTTCTTAATTTTAAAATGGATAGTAAAAAAACATTTTCATATAGTCTGTAGTATGGCCATAGAAAAATATAGAAGCGAAACTCGATCAGCTGATTGGGGTCTTGTTTACCTCATAGGAATGGATAGGACCACGGACCATAGATTTTCACTAACTTTAAACCATGAACTAAGATAATAGTATCTATATCCGTGCTTTAAACCACGAACTAAGATATACAGGACTGGACACGAGATGAATATTGTGGTTACGAAATGTAGTACAACAGGCGGAGTTCGGGGGGATATTTTCCTTTTAGCATTACTACCGCCGTCTTAGTGAATACTTATGGAACTAGAAATTTGTATGATGTTTTCTAGTTCCATAAGTATCCATTAAGACAGCGCTAGTAATGCTAAAAGGAAAATATCCCCCCGAACTCCGCCTGTTGTACTACATTTCGTGGTCACCCCCTCACACCCTCCGACTTTGTAGTGTTTAGTCCTGTATAATATCTTAGTCCGTGCGTTAAACGCGCAGCTTATCACGGCCATGAATATATGTACAAGAGGCACGGTCACGGTCTTATATCACACGCATGAACATTAGAGGAAGGACGCCGAACTGTGTATATAAAAGTGGTCCGGAATTATCGCATTCCGCCAGAATGCGCGTCGGACCGTAATGATGTCGTTTTTACATATTGTACAGCATAGGGAATTTATTGGTTTTTTAATATTATATTCTAAATGGTGTAACTTATGAATAATTACTATAGAACATTTTTTTAAAACCAAATTGCCCTCGATCGAATATATGTGTTTCCAATAATATACGACTTTTATAAAAAAAAGATATAGTTGTTGTCTCTTTTTATAAAAGTCGTATATTATTGGAAACACTTATATTCGATCGAGGGCAATTTGGTTTTAAAAAAATGTTTTATAGTAATTATTCATAAATTTCACCATTTAGATTATAATAATAAAAAACTATTAAATGTCCTATGCTATACATGTAAAAACGACATCATTACGGTCCGACGCGCATTCTGGCGGAATGCGATAATTCCGGACCATGTTTTTACGCTTCGTTCTGCTGTGTTCGGTGTCCTTCCTCTAATGTTCATGATCACACCACAGAATAGATGAAATTTCATCTATTCTGTGATCACACGGCACGGTTATCTACACAGGTTGGATAACGGCTGTTATCGCGCGTCTATGTATGGTGGACTCGCGAACATCAGGGTTGCCATCCGTACGATATTTATCGCACGCATACGATTATTTCATGATTGTGTACGATGTACGATAAATCTTTACTATCGTACACAAAAATGAGATAATTTAATAATTTTACTAAAATTCAAAAATAGATTTTTGTACTTTCTGAATTATTTGTTGTCTTATATTAATCGGTTGACTGTTATCTTTTTTATTGGTTTTGGTGCGTTGTTTAATGTTATATGTCCTGTTCTGGTGTTCTGTGACTGTCTTTTAATATTAAAATTTAGAATTTTTTTGTTATATACTTGGTTTAAAAATTAAATTTTTCGAAATTCTAAAATGGAAGTTGATCCAGATATTCCAGAGTGTAGTATGACTAGTAGCCCTTCAACTCCAAAAAAATTCGAATGAATAGAGGCGGTGACATGGCAAAGAGTGAAAAACCGAAACCTCGTTCACAAAAATCTCTTGTTTAAAACGTGGTTAATGGCACTTAATGCCAGTTAAATGTAACGAATATGAAGCATACTGCAAATATTGTAAGCAAACACTAAAAACAGAAATTACTGTTTTAAAACTTCACGCACTTGGTAAAAAACACAAATCAATTATGTTGAGTGGACATAAAAAACAACCACCTGTTTCTCTGTTCACAACGGAAACTGATTCAGATATGAAAAAAAAACAATTGGTATCCATTGCCAAAATAAAATTAGCAGCGTATTTTGCTGAACATAATGTGCCGTTTTTAGGAGCCGATCACTTGTCAGAATTACTTACGAAAGTATTTCCTGACTCAGAAATCGCGAAGAATATTAACGTTAACAGAACTAAAACGACAGCGATTATTAAAAATGTAATTGGTAGTTCTCAAAAGTTCATTTTATCTGAGAAATTAAAAAAACAAAAATTTAGCCTGATGACAGACGAGTCAACTGATATTGGTACAATAAAAACTTCCTGTGTAGTTGCAAGGTAATTAAATATATAATATACTATATAGTACTTTTTAATATAAATATAAATTTTTATTACAGATTTTATGATGAATCTAGTGAAATGATAGCAAGCGTTTTTTGGCAACTACACAATGTTTATGACACAGATAATCCTAGTTCAGCCAGTGCCGAACACCTTTATAACGATTTGATTTCCACGCTTAATGAGTATGAAATACCATTAACCAATATAATTGGTTTTGGTAGTGATGGATGTAACGTTATGATGGGCCAACATAACTCTGTTGTTTCTCGACTGCGTGAGTCATGTCCAGGTATAAAACACTTACAAAAAAGTGTGTTTGAATTTTTTTCATGTGACTTCATTATGTTTTTAGGCATTTTTATAATGAAATGTGTATGCCATTCGGCCCACTTATGTGCAAGTGAAGCATGTAAACAATTGCCTCATAAATATTTTCAATTTTCTAAAGAGTAGTTCAAAGAGGCAAGCAGAACTTAAACAATTTCAGATGTTTTTGAATCTTAAACCCCACAAAATGTTACATCCTTCACAAACGCGTTGGTTATCTCTAATTGCAGTAGTCAGTAGAATATTAGAACAATGGGATAGTCTGAAACTCTATTTTACTGACACTTACTTAAGTCAACGTTTGATTTCAACTGAGACTATATACTGTGGATTAAATGATCCATTCATGAAGCTTGGGTTTTTGTTTTTAAATTGGAGCTTGCCGTTATTTACAAGGTATACAAATTATTAATTAATTAACATATTATAACAGTGCCATATATAGTGTCTCATACTATATTGCAGCCTGCAGGGCTTCAAAAGGTTTAATGACTAATATTAAAACTATTGATATAGAAATGAAACTAATGTTATTTAATATCTATTTACTAATTAACTATTACTGTTGTTCATGACCCTATCAAAATTAAGAAGTATAAATATAGATTTTTGTCCGTATTTTCATGTAATCCTATTAATAGTATTAGGTATATTACTATAAATAATTATCAAACGTATTTTTATTAATTTCATAATCATATCCATATTATGTTGTATACTGTAGGTTTAATATGTATTTCCAAACAGAGCAAGTAGTCATATTAGAATTGCACGATAAAATTGTTAATCTGTACAAAGAAATATTACTATGCTTTCTTAAAAGAAGTTATGTATTACAAACGCCATTGGACAATATCAATCCTAACAATGGTGAGTTTCAACTTATAGATACTGGATTATACCTTGGGGTGGGCGTTATGGATTTGGTCAATGATCCAAAAGTTGTAGCTGATAATGTTAGGCGGAAAGATTTTTTTAAAAGGTAAACAAAATAATTTAATTAAAATTATGACTTTTGATTTGGTGGTTGTATAAATACATTTTATTATGATTAGGTGTAGAGATTTTTTCATTGTTGCTGCCATGGAAATAAAAAAGCGTTACAATATGTCTGATCCAGTACTATCAAAATTACATATGCTTAAACCAGAGAATGCAATATCTCATGCTTTCAGGGAAACTTCTCCTACTCTGTTAAGTTTAATTAAAGTTTTACCAAGGGTTGTTACTGAACCACAGATGATTCAGATAATTGACGATGGTTGGAGCCGCGAACTACAGCGCTAGTTGCATCTGGCCCTACTGGCTACTACTCCTCAAACGACCGTGGCGTCGGGCATAAAACTAATTGTTATTCTTATTATGATCAATGATTTTTACAATCGAGAGTATTTGAAAAATTTAAATTAATAATATATGGTATCAACTATCAACTAAGATTGATTTTACATAAATTACAAATTAACATATAACATGAAACACTGTTTAGTCTTGAATTGAATTCTTATACAATAGAAGAATTATTGTACTACATATTATGTTGGTGTATAAAGGTTATGTAGTTTAATTCATATTAACATTGTTTAATAAATTGCATGTCCGTATTTTAATTTTTAAGGAATATTTACAAGGGTGGCTTTTTACTTCCATAAATTTAATTAGGAACTTATAAAACTATTTCTACCAAAGAATAGTATTTATTTATTTCCAAAACAATCTAATATTAAGGTAAAGAAAAAACACTAAACCAATAAAAAAAACTTAATTTTATATTATTATTTTAGGTAAACACTAGATATAATATTTAAATACATAATTTTTGTTCTATTAAAAAAAATAAGAAAACTTATATTGCAATATTATTTTTAACACAATCGTTTAAATACAATATTACACATTTTACGTAATATATAAATTATAATGTAATATAAATAATATAACAGTTTTCAATAAAGATAAAATAAAACTATTGCCAATCATTCATCAATTTTTATTTAAATGTAAAAATTATCAAAATATTTTTTCATTTGTTTCAGATAAGATATGATTCACGTAGCCTGTAAATTAATACACAATATTTTAAAATTTGAATAAAAGCAACATATAGCATATTTTTTAATTCTTTAATGCAGCAATAGCAGAGCAATAGATAAATAAAGAGGATAACAATAATTAACAAATGTTTTTATTATTGATTTTAAAATTTGAATAAAAGCAACATAAAGCATAATTTTTAATTTTTAAATGCAGCAATAACAGAGCAATTTATAAATAATAAGGATAAAAAATGTGTTTTTATTATTGATTTTAAAATTTGAATACAAATAGCAAACATTTAAAGTGATTGAACATAATATTATATTTAAACAAAAATAACAATGACAAGTGAACTTTGAATTTAAGAATTATACAGTTTTGACAACTTTTTCTTTTCTCTTGAAACTTTAGCATTTTCAAATTTTCCTGGTATGAAAACTGTCTCAATCTCATCTGAATATAATTAACTATAATTTCAGTAGTAACATCAATGATATGTTCAGCACATGTAAATTTGAAATTAAAGTTTTCACCAGTAATATCTTCAACAACTTTATCAAATCCATCATATTCGTGACAAAATAATGAAAACGAATGTTCTACAGTACTTAAAAATTCATATAAATAAGTATTAGGATAAATAAGTTTTCCATTGGTTTTCAGGGAAACAAGCTCAGCAGCAGGATGATTAGCATTGCAAGTCTTAAAAAAGCTAATACATTTTGAGCATTTTTTCCATTTAAAAAATTTTTTTTGTAACATACCCACAAACATAATATACAATGGAGTCTCTTATACTGCATTCTTCATTGTTACTACAATTTGGAAGAATGTCACACGGTTCCCAAAGACCTTCTTCAATCAATTCATCAAGTTTAATTTTCAACTTATTAATTTTTTCTATTCTACAGCTGACCTTATTATGAAATATTTCATGTAAATCTGCCAAAGAAATTTGTGGAGTATCAGTAGAAGTAACAGAGCAATTACCATACTTTGGAGGTTTTAAAACCGAAAGTATTTTATACAAATGTAAAAACGTTGGTGTGGTAGGGTGATCATTGGGTCCACAACTTTGTCTTATTATACCAAAAAATTTCTGAAAGAAAATAAACACATGAGGCATAACATAAAGCAAATTAATACCAATTTGTTCTAATTAAATGTCTATATGTATATTTTAAGTTATTTATAAACTTTAAGTAGTATGAAAATATAATATAAAAAACAAAAATATTAAATAACTACACTAGGATTACATCAAATGTTTGGAATTTAAATTTAAAATTGACAAAGTGTCTTCACTGGAAGGCTTCTTAAATCCGTCCTTTCATCAAGCCACTTATTCATTCAATTATCTATTTTACTTATTGTTCATATTTTTATTGTAACAGATTGTAAATAAAAATTATAAAAAAAAAAAAAAAAATTTAAAATTGAGTACCAGTTTTAGAAATAGATCTATTCAAATAAATTTTAAAAGTTTTTAAATTACTATAATAATTTATAATAAGGAATCTATTTATCACTTGAAGAACTTACTTCAAGAGGGTCCTGGCACATTTTCCCAGTTAATACATATGTAAAACTACACGACTCTAACAAATATTTTGATAAATCAATAGTTGAATTTAATGTAATCCTTAACCCTTCAGCTGTTTGATTTGTAAGGAACTCTTCTGGATTAATATGACCAGCAAACATTTCATTTTCCCAACAGTCTATATAGTATAGTGCGTCCTTAAATATTTTAAAAAATGTATTTATTAAATTTATAATTTATAGGCAGTACATTTAAATTTCATTACAAAAGAATTAACATTACTTTAAATCCATCAAGGTCATTTAGTTTTAACCCTTGCCAGGGTAAGTTACGATTTAAATTGTCAAAAAGATTATTCCAGAACTCGGTGAAATTGGCTGTTTCATCAGAACTTTTTAGCATAACACAACCTTTACTCTTGTAGTATCTCATTGCTTTAGCCATGCTCATACTTAGTACCTGGAATGTTTAGAAATATCATAATTTCAAATTTTAATTCATAAGATTAAATTAAATTATGGATTGTTAGTAGGTACCTGTGTACAAAGTCTCAATCTCATTTTTGCCATAGAGGTAAGATCAAGGTGTTGGGGTGTTATTCTAAGAGCTATTCTAAGATTTGCTGGATGTTTAGTATCTTCTTTATACACCTCTCTGTAATAACCCCAGGCAACACTATCAGATTCTGAATGAAGCTACAAAATAAGCAATTTATTATAAAACAAAAATACAATTAATAAGGACAATAAAATACTATACTCTGTTCAAAATAAGATCGTGAATCGGCGGCGACCAGTTTTCGTCGGGCGGCGGTCAGACATATGGCCAGATGCCGTCCCCACTACAGCGACGCGTCGGGCGCAGCCACGGAACAAAGCCACGCCCATGCGCACAACTCGGCCGCCGGGTCACGATCTTATTTTGAACAGAGTATAGTAATTACTCCAAACAAAATATGTCTTACTCTTAAAGTTTTATTATTATAAAGACGATTTCGAACACACTTGAAAAGGTGTACAAAATCCGAAAATGCATAAACTCTTTTGTTATGAATAGAAGGGTGTTCAAAATAATTTTTCATGCCATCTTGAGAACCAACTATGCCTAATTCAGACCACATTTTTCTATTGGTTGTTGCTCCATCACAAACAATTCCATCCACCGAAATACCAATATTTTTCAAAAGTGATATAGCTTTTAAAACCAATTGAGCTATAGTTACTCCTATAAAAGTTTTATTTTACAATTAATTAAAGGATATAAATGTACATAATGAATTGTGTTTACCTTTAACTTCACTTTTGGAGGCAAAACAACCGATTGTTTGGTAAAAATTAGACCCCAAAGATTGAAACATAAAGACTAAAGCATTGTCTGCTAGTTCTTTATGACCAACTCCAGAAATATCATTACCAAAATCTTCTAAGCCGGAATAGGTTAAAGTTGACGAATTTACATGTAAACTTTTTCTTAGATGAACTGCATCAAATAAAAGTACACCATGTTTTGCTGTATCAGTCATTTGTTCAACTTTCTTGGAAAGTATTTTTATGAAATCTTGATCAAATCCACAAGTAGTTTTTACTAACGACAGGTGGCGCCTAACAGTTTTAGGGTGAGGGAGAGGAAGTAAAGCACTACTGCGTAGATACTTATAAGCACTTGGAGATCTGATGTTAAATAACAAGCAGAGCATCAACAAGTGGTGTTCACTATATCGACAACTTTTAACATTTTTGACTTTACTTGCTGCAAAACATTCCAATATTAATGTCTTTTGTGACTCGTTCATATTTTCACATTGATCTATTTGTCTTTAATAGATTCATTGCCTATTTTGGACATTTCATTCTGCACTTTATTTAGTTCCAATTTTAAATCAACTATACATTGTTTGGCCCGATTACATTTTTTTTGCAAATTGTTTTTTACCCTACGCAATTCATTCACTGCTAACTTTTTTGTTGGTGATAATTGAGTTAATTGCCTGCTACCAGATACCATTCTTTGCTTTTGCATATTTAGTACATTTCTTAATCTTCTACACCTTTGACAAGCTGAAGAGCCAGTTTTTATGACTTGAAGGCATTGATTATGTTTTAATCTACCAGTTGTAGATTTAGTACACAAATTTGAAGACATTTTGGGAAATTCTTCAATTCCAGGTCCACCATGACAAATATTTACTTTTTCAAACTCTTTAATGTTGTCAGCAAGTAAATTAATATTTTCTCCAGGAATTATACCTAGAACTGTACAACTAACTTCTTTGCCTAAAATTCCAAATGTGATTTTCCCAGATTTATTAACCATGACTGATTTTTCTATCACAGGGAAATAATCTCCAAAACAGAAAGATACAAAACAATATTTGTTTTGGATACTGTTATTGCAAACAGGTGATGCAAGAGGCCAATGTATAATTGATGACAGATTCGAACAGCTAGCTATTTCATCAAACAGGTTAAAATGTATTTTTAAGTTTGTAGATACATTTTCAATTGGTATTTCTGAATTTAATACATCTCGTTTAAGGTGTTCTGGATCACCAAATTTAATTTTCTTGGGTATAACACACCTAACAGTAGGTTCTTTTCTTTTGGTTGAGCTCTTTGACAAGTATTTAGGACCCGGGAAGATTGAAGGAACAGCTTCTTCATTTAATTTAATTTTTGTATAAGGAATCTGTTGACAAAACACAATTTACTTGAGAAAATTTTTAAGAAAGGTAAACTTAATCTTCACATTAATTTATTTTACGTAAAATTAGTTTCATAATTTATCACACATTTTTAAATTTTAATTACCCCAAATTAAATATATGCATTACCTATACTGTTGGCAAAAATGCCTTTTTCAAAATAAAATAAAGAATAGGTACAAAATATGAAATGTGGTTGATGGTACCCAAATGTAAAATACAAAAATAAAAAGCTATTTTGTTCAAATGTACACATCTTTGTATTTAGGTAAGTAGGTACAACTAGGTATATGACTTAGGTACCTAGAAACGTATACAACCAAAATAATATATTAAACTAATACCATTCCATACAAAATTATATTTACTGAGATATTTCAATATGTGCACATAAATTTACACGGTACTTAATGCATACAATTAAATTATGTTCATAAGTTAATTAATAATAACTAACCTGTATGTCACCAGATTTCCAATATCTTATAATGTCATCTTCACGGAAATGTTTGAAACAAACAAAGTGTTTTTCTGTTAAAATAAAATCCTTTCTACGAATAGCTTTTGCCCAAGCTTCGCGTCGTTTTACATCTTTAGGTACACAGAACTGGGGAATTTTTTCAGGGTTGCTTTTATAGCCTGATGTACAGCCCACAACACAACACTTCACCATAGTATAATTTACCAATTAACAATATAAAATTAAAAATGTACGATCAAATTTACGTTTGTAAACGTAAAGAGAGCTAGAGAGCGCGGTGGTTTTTTACTTTTGTATTAAACTTAGTACTTTCTGATAAAAACAGTTAAGTGAAAATATGATAAGTGATTACTATGTAAAATACTATAGGCTATAATTTAAGTAATCAGCACTTTGTTCGTAAAATCAATTATATTTGAAAAATTAACAAAAAATTACAAAACGACGTACGTTCTACATATGAAAGTAGGGCCAGACACAACTAGTGCTGTAGTTCACGCTGGTCGTTCTGTTCTTCAGTACAGTCACATGTTAGCTGTATTGAAATTGTTATCTGATATACCTCCCATGTGCATACAGCGGAGGTTTGTCACACTGTTGATTTGTACGAATTTCGCACATCGGAGCTATTATCAGCTGGTGTTGAATAGGAGGGAAAATAATCTTTATTATCACTTTTGTCTTTTCATATTATTATTTTTCATTTTGAATTTTTTTGAAAAAAAAATCGGAATCTTCAACAATAACATAAGTGTAATTAAATTTAAAATTAAGCGAGGGGTAAATACCTGACAGAAGTTTTGTACACCAGATTACTGATTTCAATGATTATACCTATGATTACCCATGATTTACTTCAAAGATTACCTATACCCATGGTTACCATCACCTTGTACATTGATTACCCCCAAGGTGTTTACCCCTCGAAATTAAGCTTATTGTTATAATACAATTTTATAATACTAAAAATATTGAAACCTGATTATATAAATTATAAATACCTATTGGCTAATTTGGTCTTATCATAATATTCTGTTGGTGAAAATGGAAAGAAAGTTGACCTGAATGTATATTATGATAATCCTATGCCAAAAACCACCATAAATAATTTTAACAATTTTGATAATTTATGATTTTATTATTACTGATAATATTAATACTTATGACAATATTGATGATGACACTGAACAAAATCGTAATGTAGATGATCCAATAAATGAAATTAATAGTAATGTGGACTGTGATGTTCTTAGTGAATGTGTGTCTGAAAATTCTATAAAAATTGGTAGAACAAATAAGGAAAAGGCTTCTATAAAAAGAGTTGCAGGAGACCCATATATTATATGGGTTCAAAAGTTAAGAATGGTAAATGCACACAGTCTTGTCCTAAGCCTGGAAGATTTTTGAAAGATTGTTGTGCTCATAATCACAAAAATAAATAAATTAGGATCCAAAGGTTTTTTATGCGGAATGTTCACCGAAGTAGATCGAAAAATAATTTTTAGAAAATTTTGTGCATTATTATTATAACTTATAATTTATAAGTTTTAAGTTTTTAACCAAAAAGTATGAAGTGTTATTAACTGTTATTTTTTATTTTATATTATAATGTGGTTTTTCAAGAAACAGAAAAAGTTTGTTATTTTTATTCTTATTATTACATTTACTATTTATAATTAAAAATTGTAATTAATTATAAAATCTATTAAATAACCATGTATTCAATTTTTATTCATAACTATATTGTTAGTTTCCTGTATCTTTATTAGATATTACAGAACATTTAGCAAGGGTCAAATTTCGTCTAATATTTCTATAATTTATAGAATGCTATTACTTATTGATGCATATATAGGTAGGCATGTAGGTATGTTTCTTTTTAGATATTATAAAGCACAATTTTAAACTATTAGCTAACCTAACTGATAATATTATATTATAGATCAATGTAGTTAGATTAATTAAAAGGTTCATTATTATTTTACAATTTTAGCAGTACCTAGTTTATACTTTGTATAGTTGAAATAATATAGACATGAAATCTCTCATGTGTAAAGAAAAAAAATATACACAAATATTAACCTCCTATGTGTCAACATCAAACCTCCTATGTGGAGTTTCTGTTGAAAGTGAAGCTTGACGGACTAATGATGTTAGCATTAATATAATAAGTAATAACACGACAATATGATTATGTATAAGTATAATATATAATAACGTACAACTGGACAATTAAACTGTGACTATACACACACACCGCGTACACTCGGTATGACAGCGTCTGTGCAAGTGAATATTACATACATCAAAGGCCCTATATATATGCACGACCGAGGTCATGTTACATCCGTAAAGAGAGTGAGTCTTATGCTCGTACATAACTAGTTACTAAATTGTACACACGTGTCAAGGCTGACTACATATACTACATATTAATTGTATATTTCAACACCCTCCCTCAATTAATAATCTCTTTAATTGTAGTCACTCCTATGGCTGACCGCAACTTCTCGAATCGTTCCTTAACCAAAGGCTTGGTTAGAATGTCCGCAATCTGGTCCTCTGTTCCAATGTACTGTAGTTGGAATTGTCCCTCTTCGTATTTCTCCCGTATGAAGTGGTACCGTACGTCTATATGTTTTGTCCTCTTATGAAACTCCGGATTCTTAACTAAACGTATAGCACTCTGATTATCTATAAATAAAACTGGTTGTTTGTCACCTGTTGTCGATAAGCTTATTATCAACCGTGTAATCCACAAGATCCCTTTGACAGCTTCACTGGCCGAAATATATTCAGCCTCTGTCGATGATAACGACACACAATGTTGTCTCTGCGATGTCCATGAAATTATGCTTGACCCGTACCTGAATAGAAATCCTGACGTCGAACGTCGTGTCTGAATGTCGCCTGCGTAATCTGCATCGCTAAATATTTCTAATGACAATTTTGTTTTGTTATTAAAGTACAAGCCATAATTAAATGTTCGCTTGATATATCGTATAATCCGTTTTACCAAGTTCCAATGAGCTTTAGTTGGTTTTGCTAAGTAACGACTAGCAAAGTTTACTGCATATGCTATATCTGGTCTTGTTACCTGTGATAAGAACAGTAAGCTACCTACTGCCTGCCTATAAGGAATATCTTCATTCAATATTTCCGTATCTTCTTTTTG